CCTCTATGGAAGCTTAGAAGTTAAATGATCTCCAGGGACCAATCCAATTATATCTCTGCGGCATCGAGTTTTCGCTAATCATCAATAAAAAAAATACTCGTCAATTAGCAGAAAAGGGCAATTTAATGCGAAAATAATTTTTGCCTACTGAATGTCAATTATCTTTTTTCAATTTCGAATTGGAATTTTTCATTAGAGAATTCGTTGAGAATTTGTTGAGAATTGCAAACTGGAACAACTAAAAAGACAATTGTACACGAATTTCAAAAAGGAGAAAGAAACTCGTGAACGAGAATGAAATATAATAAAGTGAAAATGTTATCAGTCACAATATATCTGCGTTTGGATATATATATATAGTAGTATCGGAATTAAAATCATAAAATAGTTATGAAGGAAAACAGCGAATTCCACTTATCACCACACCCAAGGTTCAGCATCTAGAAAAGAATTTCAAACACCACAAAGAATGGAGAAAAAAGAATATTATTGTCACAAACAGAACATGAAAATCACGTGTATCAAGTTTTTTTAGAGTAAAAAATTATTCCGATCGCCAATGATTTGTGCGGTTTTGTGGAATTTTTTTCCGTCTCTTGTATATAGTATATACAAAATAGAAATGTCAATCTGAGGAAAATGAATTTAGTATCGTATTTCATTGATTGAGACAATTGGGTGTGGAGGAATTCTTTGAATTTTCACGAAACAGAACTGTATTATATTTCTCTCGAGGAATCCTGCTTGAGATCCTATCGAATCATTCAATCCAAGAAGTGCGAATTACGTGATTCAACGGATTGCAATCAATCGAATTTATCGAAGGAGCAATATTTATATAATTAAGATGATTGTTTGAATATTTTGGAAAATTAGTCGATTGGAGGAAAAGAATTAGAAAAGATGTTTGGAATAATTAGGAAAAATTATAATTACCTATCGTAGCGGTTCTTTCTATTCTTGATAAATGAATAACTGTTGTGAATGCAAACGAGAGACTTTAACACCAATGCCGTAAAATATGTCTCTTTGGATTATTATTTATTGCTTGAAAAATTAATGAATTTCGAAAGCTTTCGATGGAGAGATTAATTGGTTTCTCGGGATTGCGACATAAATTTGATTCTGTTTCTTTCCTTATTTTGATTTTTTCCCCTAAAAAGAAAAGACTTTTTTCCTAAACAGTATTCTGATTCACTTGAAAAATAATAATAATTCACTCTAAAAATAGAAAAAAAAATGTTTCTAATACATTAATTTGTGAATATCTTCAATAATTGTAAAATTATTCAAAACATAAAAATTGTTCGAAACAATTTTCTTTAACAAATAATTATTATTTTTCACTTAAGAATTAATATTTTCGAAAAATTCAAATTTCAAAGCATCTGAAATTCAATTGTTTATAAAAATTGTTATATTGCAACTCTTCCAAAATTAACGTCAGTGAAATTCACTACGTTTACGATCAGCGATTGAGAGAGAAAAATTTTTTCAAGGAGAACGAAAAAAATTCAGAAAAAAATTAAATGATTTTTTAATATTTTAATTGGTTGCCGAATACCAAAAATGGAATTTTTTTATCAATTCTAGAAATTTGATTTTTTACCCTGGGAATTTAGGGAAAAATCAGGAAAATTATAATTGGTCAGGAAAATCAAGGAAAAGTTCAAGAATTTTTTTTTATATTTAAGTGGTATTATCTTTGTTATTAATTTAATAATTATTATTTAGTATTTAATAATTAATTGCTATTTAAACATTTTTTTCTGTATCTAATCACATTTTGTGAGTGAATCAGAATATTCTTTAGGGAACGTCTTAATTTCAGAGCAAAAAATCAAAATTCTTTCTGAAAATCAGGGAAAAGAGAGAAAATCAAAATCGAATTTTTGTGGCAACCCCCAAGTTTGATAAATATTAATCGACAAATTAAGAAATTAAAGACAATATAGAAAAAAAGTCTTCGGAATCATAGTACGGAAATATTAAAATTCTAATACATTAAAAATCTTTGCTATAATTAAATCAGATCCTACAGATGATTTAATAATCCTTTTCCTTGTTAGAAAGTACAGGTTTTCTTTGTAATTTTCTTTTTTTTGCGTGATTACTTTTTCAATTAGAATTTTGTATACACTTATTAACCAAATTTAAAACTGTACTGGTGTTTATATTGTTTGCAGTTTATATACCTTACAGTCCAAGAGACTAAAATAACAGTTAGTTGATTATCATAAATTAATATTATATCTCATATATATAAAAGGATAAATAGTCTCATTGTATGTATGTGTATTTGCAATTATAGGTGTAATACGTTATGTGAATGATAATTTTCCTACGTATATCTATATTTATTTTGTTTACGGGAAGGGAAAAATTATGCAAAAAGAAGAAGTTCCTTATAACTTTTTCTATATTCACAAGGGGGAGAAAAGGATTATTAAATTGTTTTCTTTTTATCGCGATTTACCATTTTTTTTCTCAAGTTAATTTTTTTTTCTATGAGCTGCACGCTTTTACTATTAGTCTCAGAATCGCGCATGAGTAGCGCTTTAATAATTGCGCAATATTCTAATAATGGTATTTCAAAGAGCGATAATCATTACAAATTAGTTTAATTTGCTTATTCTTTTTGAGAATTTTTTTTTTTTGTTTCTTTTTAAGGCGTTGGTGAAGTTCACAACGTTTATAATCAACGATTTCGAATCTGAAATAATTTAATTCATAAATAAAATTTTATTTATTATTTATTTATTTTATCAGCATTCTTGAGAATAATAGAATTTTTTCAAAAAACTTTATTAAATTTTATAAAATATAATAGTATTAAATACTTTGGTAAACTTTTAATGGAATTTTATGGAAAATAATTGACTTCTTCCGAAGGATTTTAGAACTTATGAAAATAATTCAATTCTGGCGACGAATTTAATAAAAATTGTAGGTACATACTGAAAATAATTTAATTATTTCGAAGAATATCATTTTAAAATTTTCGAAAACAATAATTAAATTCTTTCAAGAAATATAATTGAAAATATATTCAAAATAATTAAATTCTTTCAAGAAATATAATTAAAAGTATATTCAAAATACTTAAATTCTAATAAACAAAATTAATCAAAATTTTTGACAATAATCGAATTCTTTAGAGAAATTTTCTAAAAGTTGTTTTTAAAATAATTAAATTTCTGCAAAAAAAACATCATTATTTATGAAAGTGATTAAATATTTGACAAGAATTTTATTGAAATATTCAAAAATAATTGCATTCTTCAGAGAATATTGAAAACAATTCAATTCCTCTAGAGAATTTAATTATTTATGAAAATAATTGAATTCTTTCAAAAATATTGAAAATAATTGAATTTTTTCATGGAATTTAATTCAAATTTCGGGAAATAAATTAATTCTTTTGAGATTTACTTAATTATTTTATTATGAAAATAACTGAATTCTGGTGATAATTTTCATTGAAATTTCAAAAATAATTCAATTCTTTAGAGAATATTGAAAATAAATAAATTTCTTGGAAGAATTTTATTTAAAATTTCGAAAAATAATTTTATTCTTTCGAGAATAATAAAAATAATTTAATTCTTTAGAGAATATTGAAAATAATGCAATTCCTATAGAGAATTAAATTATTTATCAAAATAATTTTGAATTGAATTGCTGCGAAGAATTTAATTCTTTATGAAAATAATTGAATTTTGGTGAACAAATTTATTCAAATTTTTAAAAATAATTGAAATTTTTAGAAATATTGAAAATAATTCAATTTCTGTGGAGAATTTAATTATTGAAGAAAATAATTGAATTTCAGCGAAGAATTTTATTTATAATTTCCAAAATTAACTCTAAAAGGAGTACATGAATTTACTCACCTTATAAGGGGTAACTTGAATCTTGTTTTAAAAGGTTTCTATTTGACGTAAAGTCAATTAAAGTTAGTGAATTTTATTGGGTTTTGAGTAACGAAAGCAATGGTTTTATTCATTTTTTGATAAATTAAAAAAAATTTTGAATAATCGATAGGGTTTGAAAGTGAAAAAATTATTTTTTAAGTTAGTGGCGTAATTTGAATATTACGTGGGATGTCTGGACACCCCAGTTACTCCTTCTAGGGTTAATTTAATTTTTTCTAGAATATTGAAAATAATTACGTTCCAGCGAAAAATTTATTTAAAATTTCAAAAATAATTTAATTCTCTCAAGAATATTGAAAATAATTGAATTTCTGCGAGGAAATTTATTTCAATTTTTAAAAATAACTGAATTATTTCAAAGAATTTTTTTATGTTTTAGAATATAATCAATAACAATAAATATTTAATTACTTAATAAGTAAATTTCTTTTCGTTTTAAATCTGAAATCTTTCAAAAATTGAAGTTGATATTTAAAAGTAAAAAATTTTTAATTTTGTTTTAACAATAAATTAAATACCGCATTTCGCGCGTAACATTTGCTAGTAAATGTTAATTTAAAAAATTTCTTTATATATTTTTTTTGTAAATTTCTGTCAATATAAGTTTTTTTATCAGAATGTCAATCGCCTTAATTATTTAAGTCTTAATTAATTCAAACTAGGTAATTAGAATATCGCTGGAATATTAAATTTTATGCGCTTTAAATTTTTGTATTTTTTTTGTACTTTTAACGTTTTTTCCTGTATTTATTTTCTGTTTTTTATGTTCGTTTTATGTATTTCTTTTCTTCATCTATTCATTTTTTATGTATTTATTTTTATTTATTTTTGTTATGTAATTATAATTTGTATGGTACCAAAAAAACACTTGAATATTTCGAATGTACGATTCGCCCCACATCGTGATTGTTTTCTTGTTTCTTTTCTTTTTTTTTGCGAAAAAAAGAGAATTTTCTCGCCTATCTACGTAAAGGAAGACAAGAATCGATTCACCGTTCGAAATGGTAAAAGACGCGAAAGCAAAGGCGAAGAGTCCGGAAACTTGGGAGCAATGATCCTACTCACTCATTGTTTTCTTGGACGTAGTTCAAGGCAACCGTTGATCATCCATGGCGCCTCACTCGGAAATTTGTCCTTGGAAACACCTTCCGTGTTAAAAAATTAACTACCATGTGTAAAACACCTTTTCGTTGTTGCTGTTTTTTTCTTTCAACACCCCGCCTTTTTGGTGATAATCCTCGGTCCCCCCTTTGAGGTAAACCGATCCACCTGTTGTCGGTCCCTTTCGGTCACCCGATCCGCACGTTTTTTTTCTCGAAATTAATTCTTCCGGCTCTTAGGGAGACTTTGATAAATAATTAATTTGAATAATTTGAATGATTTTTCTAATTTAAAAACTTTTGATTATTTTACAACTATTTGAATGATTTGAATTATTTTTCGATATATTTGAGATGATGAAATGAAGACGCGGCGCGCGTGCACTTGGGATAATGTTTCTTTTTCTCTTTTTCTAATCAGTTGGTCCCGGTGGCCATCGGCAACACGATCTTAGGCTCGACTGCAACCAGTTGTCGGACATCGTCGGCTTCGAACCCATGGAATCCTGTCTCATGCCGGTACTTCCACTCCAACTCCATTCCAACAGCCAAGTTTCCACTCCCCCACCCCTTGTAAGATTCTCTCGTCAGTTGCGTCTCTGGTTCTGGTTAGGCAACGATAATAATAATTTTCTACCTGTGGAGAGTAGGGTATTATGGTGTGTACGGTACTCCGATTCGTGTACACATAGAGAGGCACGCACTGAAAATACAATTCTTCATAGGGCCCTATAAACTCTCCCTCGGATTTCCCGTTTTACACGGGAAACAAACCGTTTAAATTGACGATCGAGAGAAAATGCCACTGCGAGGAAAATAATAAATGGATGGTTTTTCAAACGGAACTCTGATACACGCAAATTATATTTCATTTATCCGGCGAATTATTTTCTTCTTCGCATAAGAGGAGAAGAAATATTTCACCGATTTCCAATTGACTTCATTCAAAAACGGACGCATAATTATTATTGTTTATATATAGAATTTTTGTCAATTTGGATTTTATTTACCAGAAGTTTTCTGCGCTTTAACTGAAATTCTTTCGAGAATATCGGAAATAATTCAATTCCTGTGGAAAATTTAATTATATTTATTTCAAAACAATTGAATTCTTTCAAGAATATTCAAAATAATTGACTTTCTTTGAAGAAAATAATTCAATTATTTCGAAATTAATTAATTTTATTATGAAGATAATTGAATTCTAATGAATTTTATTGAAATTTTCAAAAATAATTTAATTATTTAGAGAATATTGAAAATAATTCAATACCTGTGAAGAATTTCATTATTTGTCAAAACACTTGAATTCTTTGAAGAATATTAAAAATTATATTTGAATTTTGTTCGAAGAATTTTACTTAAAATTTTCAATATTAATTAAATTCTTTCAAAAATATTGAAAATAATTGAATTCCTGCGAAGAATTTTTTTTTTATTCAAATTTTCTATAATAATTGAATTTTTTTGAGAATATTGCAAATAATTGAATTCTGGTGAATAATTTTTTGAAATTTTCAAAAATAATTAAAAACTTTAGAAATTATTGAAAATACTTCAATTCATATGTGGAGAATTTAATTATTAAAGAAAATAATTGAATTCTTTCAATAATATTGAAAATAATTGAATTTTGTCGAAGAATGTATCTACTTAAAATTTCGAAAAATTATTTAATTCTTTTAAGATTCAATTATTTTATTATGAAAATCATTGTATTTTTGCTGAATTTTATTGAAATTTTAAAATTCAATTATTTAGAGAATATTGAAAATAATTCAATTCCTGTGGAGAATTTTATTTAAAATTTCCAAAATTAATTGAATTTTTTCAAGAATATTGAATTCCTGCGAAGAATTTTATTAAAATTTTTTATAATAATTGAATTTTTTTTGAGAATATTGAAAATAATTGAATTCTGATGAACTATTTTATTGAAATTTTCAAAAATAATTAAACTCTTCAGAAAATATTGAAAATGTTTCAATTCCAGAGGAGAATTTAATTAGTATAATGAAAATAAAAGAAATTTTATTAAAATTTTCAAAAAAAATATGTGCCAGAAGCTTTCTTTAACCGAAATTTTGATCTTATTTATTTATTCATTCAAGAATATAATTTATTATAATAGGAATTTTAGAGAATAAAATTTCTAGCATATAAAAATTCTGACAAATAAATAGAATTATTTTTGAATTCTATTAAATAGAAATTCGGTCCAATTAAATTTCGATTAAGTAAAATTTCTGTAATATGGAATATTCGATGAAATGGATTTGCTGGCGAATAGTATTTGAGAAAATCTCAAACGGAACTATGTTTTAGTAGGCATAAATTATATTTAATTTATCCGGCGAAATATCTTCTTCTTATTCTCAAAAGAGGAAAAAAGAACATTTTTACCGATAGAAATCCAATGGAATTGAAAATGATAACTTTAATAACTTTGAACCTGAAATAATTTAATTTTCTAAAGAATTTAACTAAAAATTTTTCGAGGAATTCATTTAATATTGTATTAAAAATAATCCAATCATTATAAAGAAGTTTATCGAAATTTTTGAAAATAATTATTGAATTCTTTGAACGAATTTTTTTACTTATGGAAATAATTGAATTCCTGCGAAGAATTTTATAAGTTAATGAATTATTGAATTCATAGAAAGAATTTTTTGAAAATAATTAATTTTATTCGAGAAAATTTACGAAAATTGTATTGAAAATAATTTAATTCCTAAGAATTTTTTTATTTATGAAAATAATTGAATTGCTGGGAAGAATTTAATTAAAATTTTTAAAGATACCTAATTAAATTCATTTAAGGAATAATTAAAATTGCTTTGAAAATAATTCAATTTCTGTAAAGAATTATTAGATTAAAATTTTTGGCACCTGAAATTCTATAGACAATGATAATTTATGGAATTGTCATGCGCCTTATTTATTTAAAACATTTTTTTAGATTACATTTTCTTCAATTATTTCTTCTCAAGAAAAAGAAAAAGGAGGGGGAAAAAGTCAAAAAGCAGTAAAAATTTCCAGTAACTCTTTCTCGAAAAGAAAAGTAAAAAAAATATATGATCGTGATAAATATTCGATTTAATAATCCGAACAAAATAGTCTTCAAATAAATTTTTCTAAAACAAGAATAAAAAATATAAAGCAAAAAGAAAGAAAAAACCCCCAAAAAAAAGGAAAGGAAAAAATATAAAAAATTAAAATCGGAGATGAAAATAGTTTAAAAAAATCTAAACTATTTAATACCAAAGTTTTATATTTGTTTTCCTTTCCTTTGAACATTAAAAAGAAAAAAAATCCCCATTCAGTCAATTTTTCATTCATAAAAAAAAGTTGAATGAAATTTTCTTTGAGAATCAATCAAGAGAAAATTCCGTTCAGTCATTCCTTGTTTCTTCATTTTTCAATTCATATGCGAGAATTTTTTTCAAGTTTTTGTTATGAATTGAGGAATTTTTTTCTCTTAAAGAATTCAAGATATTAATGTAAGGCATTAATTAAAGAGAACTTCATTTATAAATAATGCAAAATCTCTTTAAATAAAGTCAATTTTTGTTTAAACAACTTTTTAAAAAAGTTGATTTAAAAAAAATGTTTGAACTTTGAAATTTTCAAAAATCTAAATTCGTTAAAAAATAATATTTTTCATGGAAAAATAATCATGATTAAATATTCATTTAGAGAAAAAAAGTTATTGATGCTTCGTTGAATAATTTTACTCTTCAGAATATTCTTTACGGTCAAGAAATGAGTCAAAATTCTGCCTAGAAATCAGGGAAAAAACAAATTTTTGTGGTAAATAAATTCATAGTTAAATAATTTAAATCTAAGTTAATTTTAATATTTTCAATTTATTTCATTTTATAATTAAAGAATTTAAATTCAATTTAAAATCATTTTGCAGCAGTAAATTATTTATTTTGTATATAGAAAAAAAAGGAAAAATTCCTAAGAATTTGAGAAAAAGAGGAAACATTTTTTTCTATCGAAAATTCACAAAGAAGTGATTAAATTTGACCTTTATGTATATGAGGAATTAAAAATTGTAGATATATAATTTGAAGATGATGTAGATGTAACAATGAAGGTAAATTTTTAACAATGATCGTCTCGCTCATTAATTATAGACTTCTATTCAAATATTTTCAATGTTAAATTGCCTTTCTGACTAAAATACACATATAAAGACTCGAATGTGTATTACACAATTTACAATATATATATATATATATATAGAAAGAAACTTTTTTTCCTCTTTAAAAAAAACAAAACAAAAAAAAGCCCACCTAATTCGTGAATTTCTTAAAATTTATTTAAGCGTTTTTTAAGAAATTCACAAAAAAAGGACTCTATTTTTATGACTAAATAGTTGTTTCTTTTTTATAGATGCGGCAAGGTGGTATAACAATAAAAACTCTCTTCTTAAAATTTAATTATTGACCAATGTTAAACTTTTCTTTTCGTATTAATCATTACATAACGTATCAAATTCTCCGGTATTATTATCTTGCATCATGAATATAATATGTCAATGATGAAAATATTATTTGTATATAATATGAAAATTAGCAAATTTCTCTTTTATATTACTAATCAGTAATCACAAATTGATATTAAAATATTTTATTTTTAAATTCGAGGAATAAGTGAAGAATTCTCGCTTTTATTTTATGAAACAAGTGCTGCAAAAAAACGAAGAAAAAAGTGAAAAGAAAATTCGTAAATATTTATAAATTAAAAATTTTTATTTCAATTTTTTTTACTTGAAATGTATTTAGTATTGTTTTATTTTTTATTTTCTTTCATTTAATTTCTTTTAACAATTTTATTTTAATTTACTTTTTATTTATTTTCTAAAATATATTGAATTGATTATTAGAAAAAGGAAGAAAATAAATTTACATTCTTCGATTGTTAATTTTCATGATTTTTTCATTTCACTTTTATTCTTTCTTCCCTGAATATATACAGAAAAAAGGGGTCTTTAGCTCTTTAGATTAACGTTAAAAGAACTTTCTTCTTGCTTTCGTAAAACTCCAACTTGTAATTTTTCATAACATCCATTTCCTTTATCCCAAACATTCTTTTAAATTTCTCCTCAAAGTAGTATAATCCGCGTTGTGAATAATTTTTTTAAGGTTCTAATATTATTTAAAAGTACAAAAATTTGCCTCACTTTCTAATTTGTTAATTGAAATTCTTCTTTTCTCTGTATTTGGGAGAGAAAAATTTTTTTTCTTTTTTTCACATTTTTTTTTATTCAAGATAACGAATTTTTCTAAGTTAATATATATTAATTACATAATATTCAAAAATTAATGTTAATATTTATTATTATTATTTAAATAATAGCAAAAATTGATAAAACAAAATTGTTTTGTTATTAATGAACTTTTGTTCTAATTAATTCAAACTTTTACGAATTCAAATTTAAAGAATAAGTATTATGATTCTATTTGAACAATACAAATTTAGAAATATTGATCTATTCGTCATAATTTTGTTTTTTTTATATTTTTAAAAGCTAGTTTTTTTGTTAAAAAACTATTATTAAATTTTTGTAAATTTAATAATTTTGAACCTGAAATAATTTAACTTTTTGTAAAGAATTTTGTTCATAATTTTTCGAGAAATTTAAATTAAAATTTTTATTAAAAATAATTTAATTCTTATAAGGAAATTTAACAAAATTTTAGAAAATAATTGAATTGAAAGAATTTTTTGAGAATATTGAAAATAATCCAATTCCTCTGGAGAGTTTAATTATTTATTAAAATAATTGAATTCTTTAAAGTATATTGAAAAGAATTGAATTTCTTCATGAATTATTTATTTTATTATAAAAATAATTGAATTCTGGTGAACATTTTCATTGAAATTTTGAAAAATAATTCAATTCTTTAAAGAATATTGAAAATAATTGAGTTTCTTCGAAGAATTTTATTTCAAATTTCCAAAAACAAATTTAATTCTTTCGACAATAATGTAAATAATTGAATTCCTACGAAGGATTAAATTATTCGTGGAAATAATTGAATTCCAGTGAAGAATTTTATTTAAATTTTCAAAAATAATTTAATTCTTTAGAGAATATTGAAAATAATTCAATTTCTGTAGAGAATTCAATTATTAAAGAAAATAATTTTTAAGTTTAAAAATTATTGAATTGTGCAAAGAAATTTATTAAAAATGTATTGAAAATAGTGGAATTTCTTAAAAAAAAATTTATTATTTATCAAAATAATTCAATTCTTGTGAAGTTTTTTAAATATAATAATTGAAAATAATTGATAATATTTGAGAAAATTTATGAAAATTGTATTAAAAATAATATAAAAATTCCTGCAAATTATATTTTTATTTATGTAAATAATTGAAAAATTATTGCGAAGAATTTTATTAAAATTTTATTGAAAGGAATTGAATTTTTTTAGAGAATTTTATCAAGATTTTTAAAAATAATTGAATTAAAAGTGTTTTGTTAAAATTTTTGAAATTAATTGAATTGTTTCTAAGAATTTTATTAAAATTGTTGAAAACAGTAAATAATAATAATTAATTTGTTAATTAGTTAAGAAATGAATTTTTTTAATTTATCTAATTTGAAATTATTCAAAAATTGAAGTTGAGATTTGAAAATTAATTTTGTAATTTGCATAATAATACCTAATAAATTAAATACCGCGTTGCACGCGTATTATTTGTTAGTTAATTAATATATATTCTCAAATTCATATTAACAATAATTAATTAATATTCACAAATTAATATTATAATATATTTAACATAATATATGCGGAAAATTTATTTTACGCAGAAAATGGGAATTTGAAACATTCATAGAGTTCAAGTTTGTGTGCGAAGAAACGGTTGGCATTGCACCTAAGATCATAAGCATGCAGTTACTTTAGAAAGGGCCAAGGGATCAAGGATAGATAAGAAGAATATGAATGAGAAAGAAACTTTGTGGGAAGATTCACAAAAAGAATATTCATTTTTATATTTACTTATTCATAAGTGAGCTTATTTAACCCTCGAGAGAAAAAATTCTCTTTCCCAAATTCCTTCTTTTTTTATAACGAAATATTTTAATTTATTCAATAGAATTTTTTTAACTAAAAATTCTATACAAAAATATTTGTATCGAATTGTGTATAATTTGAAATTGTTTTCATTTTCTCGTGTGTAAAAGGAAATAATTTATAATATCCGAAACTGGTTCAAATATTTCTTTCTCGTCAATGTTTCATTCCTTGGTTCTTTAAAAATATAAAAACAGTGGCGTAAAAATTACCTGCGAGATAGTAAACAACTCGTTTAAGTTGAGATTTAAAGTCTGAACTGTGGGAAAGGTGATAATACTGCATTGCTATCCGCAAATATAAATATTCATGTATTCATCTCCATTTGATTTTCTTACATACATCTCGTTTCTATTTCTGTAATCTGAATTATTTCATTATTTCCACATTCTTCATTTTTTTTCTCTTTTCTTTTCCAGCCAAGTTATTTCTTACTTTCTGCCATCCCCTTTTTAAAAATTTCCTTTTGAAACTTCAAATAAAAAATTTATTTTTTGTTACAGTTTAACACCTGGTACTCCCGATTGCGTGCACACATGTCTTCTGCATCAAAAACTTCAGGTAATTTCAAAAACATTTCAAAATTTTCAATCTGAAAGAAACCAAAAAAAGAAATTGATGAAAAAAATCATTTATTTATTTACAGATGATAAATCATTGCATTCACTTGAGAAAAACGAGAGAAGAAGCTGTCGCACAGGCAGAATTCAAAGACATGGAAACAGGTATCAATTAAAATTGATTTTATCGATTAAAAAAAAGAAGCAGAAAAGAAAAACTCTTGGAAATAATTCATTAATTGATAATTATGTTTTGTTTTCTTTTTTTTTTTGAATTAAAAATACGAATTGAAATTGAAAAAGAAAAATTATGAATCTTGAATAGATTCCAGTTGGATAAACAGAGGAATTAAAGAAAGTTTTCTTTTTCCTTCAAGAAAGAGAAGTTTTACTCGTGAGAGAAAAATTAATTGGTGATGAAAGAAGTTTGCAAAGATGCAAATTTCATTGAGTTGGAGAGTTACATTTTATTTGCAGTCTGATTAATCGCTGTCGACAATTATCGTTAATTAATGGACGGTCAACACGATTATACACCGGGAAAAGAAATTTCTCTAAATACTCAATACAAAACGTAATTAAGTTAATTTTTCTCAACAACTTTTACGCAATAATCACATTCAATATAAATCTAATGACAATAGAATAGGCACAAAAAATATTTTTACTCTTTTTTTATTTATTCATTTTTTACTCATTAATCTCAAATTTGCAAAATTCTTTTTTCGAAACTATTTAATTTTTTCCAAAATAATTAAATATTTTTTTATTTCTAATCTATTTTATTATTAATTATTAACTAGAAAATGTTACGCGCGCGGATCGTGGTATTTAATTTATTATTGTTATGCAATTTACAAAATTTTTTATTTTCAAATATAAATTTTTAAATAATTCCATAATCAAAAATTACAAAATTCACTAACTTATTAAGTACAAAATAAATTATTATTGTTTATGTTTTCAAAAATGTTAATATAATTCTTCACAAGAATTCAATTATTTATATATAAAGAATAACATTCTTCGGAAGAATTCAAAGATTTTTAACAAAATTTTAATAATAAATTTCTGGAAAGAATTGAATTATTTTCTAAAATTTTAATAAATCCTTCCAAACAATTCAATTATTTTTTTAAATACAAGTAAAATTCTTCGCAAGAATTCAATCATTTTTATAAATAGTAAAATTCTTTGCTGGAATTCAATTATTTTCAAAACAATTTTTTTCGACAGAATTCAACTATTTTTATAAATACTAAAATTCTTTTTAGGAATTAAATTATTTTTATTTCAATTTAAATAAAATTACACAAAAGAATTTAATTATTTTCAAAAATTTCCATAAAATTTAATTTCAACAAGAATTTAAAATTCTCTAAAAATAATTCAATTTCTTAAAATATTTAAAAATTAAAAAATTCTATGAAAATTAAATTACTTTCAAGGAAATTTTTAAATATATTCGTAAAAAAATTGAAAGTATTCAATTATTTTCAAATATTTCTATGAAATTCTTCAAAACAATTCAATTACTTCCTAAAATTTTAATAAATTATTAATATAGATTATTTATCAATTAATAATTGAATAATATCGGATATGTTTATTTTGAACTAATTTGGAAAATTTGACGAATATTATGAAACAAGAGAATGAAAAAGTTTTCTTTTTATTTTGAGATTCGGAGGAGGACGAATTCTACGAGTGTTCGAATGAAGAACCAGTTCCTGGTGAGCAAGACGAGACGCAACAAAAAAGCAAGAAAGAAAAGCATTTCTTGTGGAACAGACCAGTGGGAAGATTGGCAAAACATTCGACTTTTCGATTAGTGCAAACTGGAGATCCTTTATACCTGCCAGTGACTCAGGATCAAGTTCTTAAAACTGAAGATCAATTGGAGGAGGATGCCCAAGTTATGATGGAACTAGGAACAGATAAACAAGGCACAGAAATGCGCGCTAGACTGATGAGCGCCTCTTTACTTTCTGACATGGAATCATTTAAAGTATATAGTCGTTACCAATTTTTCATTGCGTTAAATGTATTTTTATAGATTTTTGGACCCCCTACGCCCTCCTAAATTGGTAACGGAGTTTATGAATGGTCTCTTATTAATATTCACAAATAAATTACTGACAATTATCATTATTGATCTAGTTCGAGAAACAAAGCTACTATTTTACATTTTTCAGGAACCAAATGAAAATAGGATCCGTTTTTCAATTTCATATTAGGGTAGTGGCACCAGTAAAAGAACATTTAAGGAAATGTATACTTTCGATATTTTTTACTTTGAATTCATATTTTCCTGATTACGCACCCAGAAATATTATTTAATTGCACCTGAAACTTGTAACCTTTTTTCTGTTTATGCTTCGTTCATTTATCATGTTCATAACCCACCAAAAAATTAAAAAATTATTTTCAGAATTAACTTACATATTAAATCTATTTTTTTTTATCATAAACTATATTTTGAAGAAATAAGGAACTAAAAAATATTCTTTTTATAAGTAGTCATAAAAGTTATAATTTGTGAAATATCGTGATAAATAATCAATTTGTTCTTTTACTGGTGCAACTACCCTATAAGTTCTAAATTTGTCCAAAAGAAAACAATACATTTTGATTCTTTTTCACTTATTTTCAATATTAATTAATTAATATTAAATAAACAAAATATTTTATTTTCAAAAATCAACTTCAGTTTTTGAATAATTTGAGAAACAAATTTTTGAAAAATTCACTTATTAACTACTTGTCTAATTTAATTATAATTTTACTATTTTCAAATATTTTCAGAAAAATCTTCACGAAAAACTAATTACATATTTTCAAAAATTATAAAATTCTTCGCGACAATTCAATTATTTTCATAAATAATAAAATTCTTCACGGCAATTTAATTATTTTTAAGAATAATAAAATTCTTCCTTGGAATTCAATTAAATCATAAAATATAAAATTCTTTACAGGAATTTAATTATTTTAATTACATTTTTAATAACATTCCTTATAAGAATTCAATAATTTTTTAACTTACAAAATTTCTTCGCAGAAATTCAACTGTTTTCAATATTCTCGAAAGAATTGTATAATTTCTGGAAATTCTGATTACATTCTTCGAAGAAATTCAATTATTTCTAATATTTTTGAAAAAATTCAATGATTTTCTGAATAAATAAATTCTTTGTATCAATTAAATTTTTTTAATACAATTTTCGTAAATTTACTCGGATGAATTAAATTATTTAAAAAAATTATTTTTAAGAATTCAATAAATTTTTAACTTACAAAATTCTTCGCAGAAATGTAATTATTTTAAAAAATTCGAATAAAACCCGTCAAAACAATGCAATTATTTTTGAAAATTTTAATAAAATTCTACACAAGAATTAAATTATTTCAGATTCAAAATTGTAAAATCATCAAAAATTATAACATTTTTTAAAGAAAAATGTGTTTATTATTACATATTTAATCTTCAAAATCAAAAAATTAAAAATTGAGGAGCCGGGAAGAAGAACTCGCCGAGCGCTCCAACGCATGCGTTAATATCAGTCGGGTAGCAGTGACAGGCCCAGAGGCGCTCACTGCTCCCCGACTGATATTAGAGAATACGTTGGTGCGCTCGGCGAGTTCTTCTTCCCGGCTCCTCAATTAAATTAAATTAGAACTTTCTTAATATAAGATTCAAAACATTTAAAAAGCAATATTAGTAAACAAATTCTTGAAATTAGATTTTGAAAATATTTTCAAAATACTTTTGAAGAGATAATAGATTTTTTAATTACATGTCATTGAAAAATTTTCAAATAATTGAAAAAACGTAAATAAGTTTTAAAAATAATTGCATTTTTTGAAAATTATTAAAAAGTAGGTAATTAAATGTTTTAAGAATTTTCTTTCCAAATATAAAAATTAAAAATACAAGAGTTCATTTAAAAAATTTTCATTAAAATTTTCGAGAGTTCAATTATTTTGGAAATTTACAATTAAAATTCTTTAAAATTTGATTTTCAAAAATTTAAATAAAATTCTTGCAAGAAATAAATTATTTTCAAATCAAGTTTTACAAAACTTATTAATTATTTTAAAACTTTTTAATTATATATTTCAAAATTTTAATCTCATAGAATAGTTAATCATAAATAAATGAAATATTTGCCTGAAGTTGCATTTTATACAAAAAATATTTTGTTACAATCTTTTGAAGAAAAGTAAAAAAATCGCATTTTTTTTAAAAATAAATCGAAAAAGGTCGCTTTTTTGAAAATTGTCGAAATAAAAGTTAAAAATTCATACTCTCCGGACATATTAAAATAATAATAAGACAAAATAATAATAATAAGTGAAAATGATGAAAATAGATTTAATAATAAAATTAATAATTAACATTTCCGTAATTTAAAAATTGTAATTAATGAACGAGTCCTTTAGAAAATAATCAAATCTTTTTTTTAGGCTGCTAATCCAGGGGCTGTGCTTCAAGACTTTATTCGTTGGTATTCGCCCCGCGATTGGGTTGAAGAGGACACTTTAGACGAATGGGGTCAACCGAAAGGTTGGTCAATTTTTTCTTTTAAATTTTTATTATAAATCTTTTGCAATTTGAAGAAGAATTGTCTCCCCGTTTTGTTGAATGCAAACATGCATGACATACTATTGGCAAATAGAGCAATCGACTTTGAAAGAAATGTCTCGTTAATTAAAGGGTTTTTACATCAGTGAGGCAAGTTTTCTTGCAAAATATGTAATTGTGCTTACTTCACTTCTGAACATGAATTAGACTTTGATTGACACACCCACATCCTTTCAGTATTTTTTTCCGCTAAAAATTGACAATTTAGAAAAATTGTATCAATTCTCTTCTATATTTTAATTTATTTAAACTTAATTTTTTTGAATGATGTAAAAATAAAAAATTTTTTTTTCTGTAGAAAAAAAAGAAACATTTTTTTCAGAAGATAAAAAAGTAGAAAAAAAAGTAAAAAGAAAAAAAATCTCTGTAATTTAAAATGTTATATTTTCTTATTTGAAAATAGTTAAACAATTACGGTGTTTGGATTTTAAATTCTAGTTTTTTAAAATTATATATTGCAGAGGAAAAGCAAATGAAAGTGAATGAAAAATTTTCTTGTTTCTTTTTCGCAGGACATCTTTCACAGAGAATGTTACTTCCGGATAATGCTTGGACGACAACTTGGAATTCAGCGCAACCTGTTCCAGCTCATCGGCAAAAGCGACTGTTCGATGATACACGAGAGGCGGAGAAAGCTCTACTTTATTTAAGTTCAAAGCGAATCGGTCAAATTGCTCAACTTTTATTACCGGTTCTCACTCACGCTGCTCTTATCACTCTCAGCGAACAGAAAGTGGAAGCGCGGCCGAATATTCAAAATGTTGTGCAAAATATTCAAAATAAATTGCAACTCGCAAGTAAACCGGTGCATCAAAAAATGCATTTTTACGAGGTAATAGTTTTTCTTTTTTTTTCTTTTGCTTTTTGTTTTAGCTTCGTCTAATTTCTCTAAAATCAGGAAATAATCATTTATTTTCTCTATAGGATATTATCAGAGAAATCGAAGTGGAAGAGGGTTTAATCGAACAGGTGAAATCGTTGCAGGGCAAATTTGCCGAAAATTGCGACGATCAAGAAGTCACGTCATTCGTTGTGCAACTAATGACAGGCAAAGAAGTTTCTATACCAAATGGTTCGAGAGGAAACATTGGTTCAGAGATAATAAAACTTTTCTGCGAGTCTCAGAAGGTCAATATATTTCGAATTCATTTCAATTTATGCAACATTTAGGAATTAAATTCATAAACATTTTAAATTCCAAAACTAAATTTTCGTATGATTACAGAATTTTTTTGAAATGATTTCAAATTCAAAATTTAAGAAAAATTCACTTATTAACTAATTATTACTATTTACTATTTTCTAAAGTATTTAATTATTTATAAAATTCTTCAGAGAAATAAAATTAATTTCAAAAATTTTAATAAAATTCTGGGCAAAAATTCAATTTTCATAAATAATTAAATTTTCCAGAGGAATTCAATTATGGTAAAAATTATAGTTATAAAAATGAGTCTTTTTACAATTATTTATGAGTAACTATTTTCATCTTCAATTAATTTAATTAGAATTTTATTAATTTTAAAATTCAAGACCTTATTTAAAAAAAATTATCAAAACAATTTGTAAAGAAAAAATCAATCAAAAACAGCCTAATAAAAAAGAGCTAACAACCAAGAAAAAACTGCTAACAGACTACCAGAATACGGCGATTATTATTAATATAAAAAGAATTCAAAGAGAAACAATTTTTTTAAAAAAATATTTATTTGTTTCGTAAAATATTTTGTTATTATTATTCATCAATACGATTAAAATTATTTACATTTTGCCAGATAAGAAAATTCAAATTCTAAACTATTGAATCATTTTATACTGGATAAAATTAATTTAAATTTAAAATTATTTGGAATAAATTTTCGTATAGGTTACTCATACCCCATCAAATGCTGAAGAAGTGGATGCGGCGGGAGATGGAAAACATAGATCTTTCTCTGAACCCTCGAGCAAGGAATTTATTTTGCGAGCAGTCACGCCTAGACCTTCACCCTTGTCGACTCCACAACCACAGCGATTATACGTTTGCCTTGAACAAAATAATATTCGATTAGCCGGTGCATTTTCGGAGGACACAATTTTCTTTTAAATTTTTTTTTCTCAAACCAAATCGAGTGCAATGGAATTGGTATGATTACAATCAAAACAAAATTGTTTTTCTTACATTTTATATCCAATAATTTAGATAAATTTAATTGGACCTCTTGTTTTTACTTTGGGATCGGGATAAATTTTAATGGTAATTAAAAACAGACAATACGTCACTAAAAATTAAAAAAAAATATTAAAATTAGAATCGATGTAAAATTATTCAAATAATAATAGAATATGAAAATGAAATTAGAATAGAAAAATTAAAATAGAATATAATGATAAAATATAAATAAAACAAAAGTAAAATGCAAAAGTAAAGTAAAAGAAATTTAAAAATAATTTTTAAAAAAATTATGACGTAAAAGAATTAAAATTATCTATTAAAATAATTTTTTGTATTGTATACAAATTTTAGGAAACAAATTGACAAAACGTGGGAAATTTTTTACATCATGTAAATAGTAGAGTATTTATCAAAAGAAAAATATCTTTAGAAATCGTTTTTCTCTCTCAGATATTTTATGAACGAATATAGTTTATTAATTTATTGTTAATTAATGACTAAGACGATCCGCGCGTTTTGTATCTCGCTACTTAATAATTTATAATTATCTACACAGTAGCAGTTATTAAGTACGTAAAAAATAGAATAGAACAATTTTTATTTCTCTACGTTTATTAAAACATTGTTTCAAACTCACAGTTTGTAAATTTTAATTAAATTCAGCGATTTTTTTCTAATCTTAACTAGAAAATTAAATTAAATAGAAAATTTATTTTAAAAAACATATTTATATTTTTTACTTAGGTCTATATAATTTACAATAACAGTATTTACATGTAAGTGTAGAATAATAAAGAAAGAAAAAAATGACAAAAATAAAAAAGTGTTTTACCTACTTTCGGTTTTTTTTTTCCTTTTTTAATATAATTCTTTCAGCGGAGCAAAAATATACTTTTTTCGAGTTTTGGCTTGGCGAATAGAACATTTTGTACAACATCGTCAAATTCTTCAAGGGCCAATTGAGCGTGTAATCGTAAAACAGAATCGTCATCATTGTCCCTCAAGTGTATGAGACCACGATATAATATCACAAGATCATTTCCTAAACTCGTCAGCATATCTTTTCCGAGTCCTCTCAGCAAAAGTGTCGCCACCATAACACCTGCCCTTCTACACTGATGATCCTTATCAGTTTTTATTATACAACCAATGCAATAAAGAATCTAGAATTGGAAAAAGGAGAAATTATAAGTAATGTGGAAATCAAAGGTATTATAATAATTATCGAAGGTATTATTATAATTAACGAATTAAATCAAAATAATCACCGTTTTTGGTGATTATACCAAATAATTTTTAATTAATTTAAGAATTAATTAAATTATACGGAATTTATTTATATTACCAGCAAATGTTACGAGTATAAAACGCGGTGTTTCATTAGGTAAGTAACATAAATATTAACCCTAGAAGGAGTAACTGGGGTGCCTGGACACCCCAAGCAAAATTTAAAGTATTCCCATGGCTTAACCAATAATTTTTTTACGCTCAAAACCCGTTGATAATTTAGTTTGAACCTCTATCTTTTGACACTTGTATGTGCCGCCAAAAGTTTTGCTCTAGGAAGAGCTCAAACTCCTGTTAAAATACGTCTGGGGTGTCTGGACACCCCAGTTACTCCCTAACGTTAGAAAAATTGTCAAGATAAGTAAATTCAATTTTTTTAAAAAATCGTTTTTAATCAGTTAAAATCATCTGATAAAGTATAAATTGATAGGTTATGCATGAAAAAGTTGTATTTTATAAAAAAGTAACATTTTTATACAAAAATTATATTTTTATGAAAAATATAGACATTCTGTATTTGTAACAACTTATGAAATTTGAGTTAAGATTTATTAAAAATTTCTGTGCTCTCTCTACAGTCAGAAATTAAATTCTAATACAGAAAAATGTAGTATATGACAGTCAAATTTAATTTATAAATTCTATATTGTTAATAATATTTTAACATATATTAGAGGTATTAGGAATTGTTAATTAAAACTTTCATTAAATATTAATTTACAGAATCATTTCATAAGTTATTAATTTTAATGTTAATATATTCAGATATATTAAATTTGTAAAATTTTAAATTTATAACACCATTTTTAGTAAATATTAATTGTTTAAGTCCATTTTATAGTCCATTTTTATGATTTTCACTATTCGTCAATTGTCTTTAATTTCTTTCACTTCAGATGTTCAAATAATTATGTTTTTTGGAAGTAATACAAAAACTAATTTTTTCCCCTAAAAAGTGTATCTATTTAACTTTAGAAACCTAAAATAGTTTTTAAATTATTCAAATTTTTAAGAAACTACAACGTTTTTTGTGAAAAAAGTCAATTTTGCAATTTTTTGGTGTTTTTTTTGGTTTTTATGGTTTTTTTCAAAATTTTTTAAATTTATCAAAATATGAATAATATTATTATATTCCTTACTAAAAAACCAATCAATAATTCATTATAATAAATTTTTTTTACGTCAAATAGAAACCTTATAAAACAAGTTTAAAGCGTGGGGTGTCGGGACACCCCAGTTACTCCTTAGAGGGTGAGTAAATTAACGTACTCCTTCTAGGGTTAAATAAATAAATAATAATATTAATATTAAATAATAATAATAATACTAAATAAATAACATAACATAATTTTTTCTTTTTAAATTTTAACTTCAATTTTTTAATCATTTCGGAATCTAAATTTTTAAAAATTCACTTATTAACTAATTAATTAATTCTTATTATTTATTATTTTCAAAATGTTGATTAAATTCTTTATAGGAATTCAATTGTTTACAATAAAAATTTTAATTATCTTCCTTGGAGAAAGTTAATTATTATGAAAAATTTTAATAAAGATTTTGGAAACAATTCAAGTATTTTTTAAAACTTTAGTAAAATATTATTTGCAAGAATTCAAATATTTTCATAAATAATAAAATTCCTCGCAAGAATTCAATTATTTTGAAAAATTTTAATAAGATTTTTACAAAGGATTTAAATATTTTATAAAAAAACATATTATTAGAATTCTTTAAAGGATTCAATTATTGTCAGTATAATTTTAATTAAATTCATGCAAAGAAAATATTATTTTTAAAAAGTTGTTCATAAAGTTGTTGGAAACAATTCAAATATTTTCGAAGATTTTAATAAAATTCTGAGCTCTTGAATACAATTTTAATAAAATTTCTTCAAAGAATCCAATTATTTTTATAAGTAATAAAATCTTGAACTGGAATTCAATTGTTTTAAACAAATTTAATAAAATTCTTCGCAAGAAATCAATTATTTTCGTAAATAATAAAATTCCTCGCAGGAATTGAATTATTTTGAAAAATTTTAATAAAATTTTTACAAAGAATTCAAATATTTTCCAAAATTTTGTTAGAATTCTATAAAAGAATTCAATTATTATTAGTAGAATTTTATTCAAATTCATGAAAAGAAATTATTATTTTAAAAAATGTTCATAATGTTGTTGTAAACCATTCAATTATGTACTATGAGGTTTCTAATAAAATTTTCTGCGAAAATTCGTATATTTTCCTAAATAATAAAATTCTGAGCTCTTGAATACCTATAACTTTAATAAAATTTCTTCAAAGAATTCAATTATTTTCATAAATAATAAAATTTTGCATAGAAATTAAAATATTTTAAATATTCTAATAAAATTTCTTCAAAAGAACTGAAAGAATTCCTTATAGGAATTCAATTACTTTAAATACAAATTTTAATTTAATTGCTGGAAGGAATTTCTTGGAAAAAATTTAATTATTTTTAAAGATTTTAATAAAATTCTCTGCGAAAATTCTTATATTTGCCTAAAGAATAAAATTCTGTCCAGGAATTCAATTACTTTAATACAATTTTAATAATATTTCTCGAAAGAATTGAATAATTTTTATAAGTAATAAAATTTTGCATTAAAATTCAATTATTATTTTCAAAAAATTTAATAAAATTCTTCGCAAGAATTTAATTATTTTCGTAAATACATAATTTTTGATTAAAAGTTATAACATTTTTAAACAAAAAAGTATTCTTTTAGGCTGCGTTTACAACAGAAAAAATAATGTGTAGAAAATTGTGTAATGTATAGTGTAATTGCCCCTGAGGCTGAGTCTACAACAGAAAAAATAATGTGTAGAAAATTGTGTAACAATTGTCAATGCCAAAAACAATACACATTACACTACAAATTACACATTATTTTTTTCTATTGTAGACGCAGCCTTAAAATTAAAAAAATATTCATCTCAAAATAATGGAAAATAAAATATTTCCTAAATTTTTCTTGCAAAAATTGTACAAGAAAACTTATTCTCTAAATCTGAATTAGTAAAAATTTCAATCAATTTGAACAGAATTTGATACGAAATTTCTAATAATTAATTTTTCAGTTCTACGAAGAAGAAGACAATAAAAAAAACTATAAATCTAGTTTTTCTTATACAATAAATAACATTAACCATATTTTGCATTAGTAAGAATTTGTTTTTTTACATTAAATTTAAAGTAACTACTTTTTTGTTCTAGAATGTTAAATTAAATTATAAAATTTAGTTCAACTTTTTGTTAATTTAATTTAAAACATTAAATACCTATTAATTTAAATCATTAAATTAAAATTTTATTAATAATTTAAAAATTGAAAACTTTTAAAAAAGAAAAATGATCGAAAAATAAAATATAATACAATACAAATCCGGAATACAACGATTATTAATATATAGATGCCAGAACTTTCTCTTTGAATCTTTTTTTTTTAATTTTAAGGAAAAAAATTTGAAAATGCATAATTACTTCAGTTATCAGATTTCCAACTTTAAAACCAAGAACTTTGCATAATTCCCCAAGGCAGGAGAGACTGGAGGAACGAACAAGAGGATCCGAATCTCGTGTTCCGCATAAAAAGGCATTGACTAATAGTGTTTTGTACGCTGGTGCCATTTCACCTGTTAAATTTCAAATTTTCGTTTAATAATAATCTAAATTCAAAAATTTGTTTTTTTAAATGATCCTAATAAAATTTAATAAATACATTTTTTTACCTAAAGCTCTGGTGGTCTTCACCAATATTTCTCCAAGTTTCGCTCTCGTTTCCGGTGCAATTTCACCTGTACTTGTTCTCTGTGGCATATCAATAAATTCCTGAACAAGAATTTCAAGAACTTTTTGCGGAAAATGAATTGCTAGTGAACAAACTCCATTGATTGTTGCTAAATAGATAAAGGAATCTTCATGTTTGAGATTTTCCTAATTAACAAAATAACAAATTTTTTTTGTACTTTTTTGCCTTAAAAAAGGTAAATTACAGTGGAACCAGTTGGAATGCAACTCGATTTTTTAAATATTATTACAGTAATATGTTTACAATATTCTGAAACTAACAATAACTAACAATAATAATTGTAAATTGTAAGTGAAAATAATGTTGGACATTTTTTAATACAAAAAATTTTTTAAAATAGAGTTGCATTCCGACAGGTAATAATAATTCTATTTTTTTTATCATTAATATATAAATTCGATAATTTAAAAATTACCTGAAATAAATAAAAGATAACATCTTTCTTAGCGATTGCTTCAGAATTAGAATTCTCGATTAATTTCGTTAATGCAATGATTCCATGACCACGAACCGGAAGCATGGGATCAGTGAGATCTTTTAAGGCCTTATCAAACTCACTCTCCCGATTGGGATCGACTGACATATCGTAAAACTTTTGCGAACTAGAACGCAATTTAATAATATTGATAATTTCGTTCATTAAATTTTTAGCGTGTTCAGATATTTTATTCAATTTTTTCACCCCTTCTAAAAATTGACTAAACTCATCAAAGGGTTGCCAGTCCTGTGGTTTTCCCCTGTCGGTTAATATTATTTTTACCAACATCAAACCAGTGTATAACATATCAAAACTGTCATCATCCTTGTTCTCACTTTTCGTCTCATTGCAAATTGATTGAATAAACGATAAAAGTGGTTTTGGCCGTTTAATCTGAGCTTCTTGAATTGTTTTCGTATTTGCAAGATTCGAAATAAGTTGTACAGTTGACAATTGTTTTGTCACTCTCTCCATTAGATCGGAATCGGTCTCGAGTAAATTGGTATTTGTTGTCCTTTGAAATTTTGCCAAGAATTTTAATAGATGATTGAATAAAGAACTGGCGAGAATTTCATTTGATTGTACAAGATCGAAGAGACAATTGGCAATTTCTTCGTGATTTGGTATAAATTCTTTGCCGGTTATATGAAAACCACCGGTTGATCCAAATTCGAAGGATAATTTATTGCCGAAATTTTGATTCATTTGGGTGTTGGAAATCTCGTGTTCGAGGAATAGAGAAAATATGGTTTCTCTCGTTGTTTCATTTTCGAGAATTTTTAATAATAATTGCCGGACTTTTGCGCGACAATGAGATACACTTTTAGACGCCTTCATATGTAAGTGAAATAAAGGAAGAGCTATCTCAAAAAGTAATTTTATTGGTAATGTTTTAAATTCTGCTTCGCTGCTGAGAAAACACTTCGAAAGTATCTCTATACACTTTGATACTTCTTCTTCACTTTTCAAAATTTCTTCTCGATTGTTGGGTTTTACTAAAAACGGTTCCGCCAGTACGTGAAATATTTTTCTTCTACAAATTTCCGGATTCACTTCGTACAATGCGGCCATGCAAGAATTTGCGATAGTTGTACCATATTTTAAATTTTTAGCCATTAAAATCTCTAGTAACTGAAAAAAAATTCTGTTTAATTAAAAATAAAAATTAAATTTGACGACTCAATTTTTTCGTAATTTCAAAATTAAATTACATTCAAGAATAGAAAAATTTTTTTTAAAATAAATATTTAAATAACTATTTATTTTTATTTAGTAAAGATAAGAGCGTTTTGTTTGTGTGAATAGGGAGGAATGAGAAAAGAAGAAACACTTATGTAAAAAAGGCTACAGGCCTATTGTTACATTACTTGTAAATAAAAAAATAAAATAACAACTAGTTATTTTTCTACAGGATTAAAAATATTTTCAATAATTTGAATGTAAAGCCTTTTTGAAATTGAACTATTTCTAAAAATTACAACTGTAATTCTTCTAAAATTCAATCAATTCTTTTGTTGAAATTTTTTAAATAAAATTATTCGAAAATTTAATCATTTTTTAAGAAAATAATAATTTTTTGAAACAAAAATTTAATTATTATCACAGTTTAACAACAATTAAAATTTTCAAAGATTTCTATTTAAAAATCTTTCGAAATTTCATAATTTCTAAAAACTTACACTAAAACGTTTTTTATATTCAATTATTTTCTAAAATTTTAACTGAAATTCAATTTTAAATTAATTCTTCTTAAGCAAGTTTTACGAGAATTCAATTATTTCAATTTAAAAATAAATAATTTATTAAGTAATTAAATATTTCTTAAATTTAAATTCTTGTAAAGAATGTTATCAAAATTTTTAAAAATCCGAAGAATTTTAATAAAGTTGTTAATAATAATTGAATTTTTTAAAGAATTCATTTAAAATACTATTAAAAATAATATAAATTAAATTAATTATATAATTAAATTATAGTGAAAACTTTATTATTTATGAAAATAATAGAGAAAAATGTTTAAAACAATAACATTTGTAAAAATACAAATTCATTTGTTTCAAAGAAAATTTAAGAGGAATTTAATGAAAATTGTACTGAAAATAATTAAATTCTTTCAAAGAGTTTATTATCACAATTTTTAAAAATAAATAAATTCTATTAATAAATTTTGTTAAACTTTTTAAAAATAATTCAATTTTATTAAGAACTATTATCCAAATTGTAATTATAATGAAAATAATTGAATTCTTGCGACAAATTTTATTAAAATTTTTTTTAAATAACTTAATTTTTTAGGGAAATTTGATTAAAATGGTAGATAATGTATTGAAAATAATTGAAGTTTGACAAATTTTTAAAATTAATTAAATTTCTACGATAAGTTCTATTAAAATTAAATTCTATCAAGAAATTTAATTAAAAATGTATTGAAAATAATAATTAAATTTTAATTTAAACAAATTACATCAAAGTTTTTTAAAAATAATTGAATTCTTTTGAAGAATTCTACTAACATTATTAAAAAAATAATTAAATCCTTTGGTAGATGTTTACTAAAATTTTTCAAAATAATTAAATTCTTTCCAGAAATTTTATTAAAATTGTATTAAAAATAATTGAATTTCTAAAAATTTTTATTTTTTATGAAAGTAATTGAATTTTTACAGAGAATTTTATAAAAATCATTAAAAATAAGTGAATTGTTTCCAAGAACTTTATGAAAATATTTAAAAATAACAAAACCCCTCCTAACAATTTAATTAAAATTTGGATTTAAAATAATTGAATTCTTTTGAAAAAAATTTAATTCAAATTTTTTAAAATAATGGAATTCCTGTGCAAATTTTTTTTTTTTTAATAATTGAATTGTTTTAAGAAATTAGATTAAAATTGTAATGAAAATAATTAAATTCCTACGTAGAATTTTATTATTTAGGAAAATATGTGAATTCTCGCAGAGAATTATATGAAAATCTTTAAATATTATTGAATTGTTTCCAAAAACTTTATGAAAATTTTTTTAAATAATTAAATTCTCTCCATTAGTTTAATTTGGGTTGTATTGACAATTATTGAATTCTATTAAAGAATTGTATCAAATTTTTTAAAAATTAAATTCTTTGGAGGAATGTAATTAAATTTTTTTTTAAAGAATTCTATAAACATTGAAAATATTTGAATTTTATAGACTTTATTAAAATTTTTCAAAATAATTGAATTCCTGTGAGAACTTTATTATTTATGAAAATAATTCAATGCTTGCAAAGTAGTTTATAAAAAATGGGGTTTAAATATTTAAATTCTTTTGGAGAATTTTTTATTAAGATAGTACCTATATTGAAAATAATTGAATTTCGAAAATTTTTTGAAAATAATTGAATCGTTTGAAAGAATTTTATTAAAATTTTTTGAATTTTTTCGAAGAATTTGATCAAAAATTTAAAAAATTATTTTTTGATTTCAACTATTAGCGAAGAAAGTAGCTTTTAGCGTCACAAATCTAAAAAAAGTATTCAAATAGTAGCAAATTTTTTTTTAAATTTAGTAAATTGTAGGTTTTTGTAGATGAGTACGGAACCTGCTATTAATAAACTCACCTGAGAACAAATTGACTTGTAATATTCCTCAGGATTATTGCCATGCGTAATGGATATTAATTTAGCAACAATATCTAATTTTTGCCAATTACCAGAATCCTCAGTATCCTCGCAAATCGCTTGTATCAATGATATAACTCCATAAGGTTGAATAATTATTTCAGCCAGAAAATTTCTAACATTCTCTCGTAACCATTTTGGCGATTTCTTCGTACCATGCAAAATCATGAATTCTTTCATAATTTCACACTGAGGACATGCATCGATTAATTTTCTCAATATCGATTGAAATTCCAGTTGCTCGCTCTTTAATTTCAAATACAATTCATTTGTCATTTTAAAATCATCAGCTTTTGAATTTTTTAAAGAATCTTCAGTTTTCGGTTTCATTAATGGAGCAAAAGATAATTGTAATAGTGCCGCGAACAATGAACCAAGATAAGGAAGTAATACTGGACGTAAACATAAATTGGAAAAACAATTTGAAAATATTTTCGACGTATCACACAATCGTTCATATTTCTGAAAGGAAAATTTAAATAAAATTTAATTAGATAATTTTGAGATAGGACTGTAGAGTTAGGACCTTGAATATTCGAATATTTTCTTCTCGTTACCTGCATGATTGATAAAGTTTCTTGGCTCAATTCAATTAATCTTGACTCACTGACTTGTGAATTTTCCATTCCGATTCCTGGTATCAGACAAGAAATTATGCCGATTGATGTTGCGAAACCAATCGATTTTTTAATTGTTTGATATTGACTGACGCTGAGCATATTTTCTTCTGTTCCTAAATCCATTTTTTCCAATTCCCTCAGAATAAATAAAATTATGTACAGGTACTGTTTACTGTAAAAGAAAAATAATTTCCATTGTTGTACTAATAAAAATAAGTAAATAAGTACTAGTGAAAATAAGTGAACAAAAAAAACTTACATTAAATGGTAAACCATCAAATCGAAACAATGGAAAACATTTCTTTATAAATAAGTAAATAAAAATAGATGAAGGAAAATAAACGAAAACATTCGGACAAATTAATACGTTTAAAAAAATTGGTTTACTCCAATGTTTCGAAATCTAAATGGTTTCCTCTTCAGGGAATCAAAAAATTAATAAAAATTAAAAAAAAATTCTTCAGCAAGTAAAAGTAAAGAACAATTTACCCTTCAAACGTCAGAGAAAATCTATTATTAATATTTCTCGGACGTAAAAGATTGATTAATAAATAAAAATAATTTCTATAAAATAGAAATAATGGGAAATATTCTCCATTGTTGTTCCAATTTTTTTTATAAGTAAGTAAATAAGAAACTCTTACATTAAACTATTTTCTGGATTTATATTTTTTATTTCATTTCGAAACTCGTCTGACAAGAGGGAATCGGCCTCTTTTATTATTGCCTGCAAAATACATTCTTCACTGGGATTTTCCTTTTCTGAAATTGTTAAGAACATATTGATAAATTTGAATAAAATTAACTGTTCTATAATGTTTGTAATCAAAGAAAAAATGTATTCATCATACTTATGTTTGGATTCGTTAATACTTCCAACACTTTTGTCAACTCCATTTTCAACTTTTTTTTAAACAAACAAGCACTAAATTTACTTTGTATCTGCAAAAATATAAATATTAATTTAGACTTAATTTTATAGTTCCGAATTTATCAGAGTATATCTATATATATCAAAAAGATAAACAGAAGGAACAGAAGTAAACAAATTTGTAAAGTGATTATAGGTTATGTTTTTAATTTCAAGTATTGCGATTTTTATACCAAAAAGTAACAATATTTCTCTAAAATAACATGTGAGAACTATAAGTCTTTAAAATTTGTTCTTCTTTCTATATTTTTCGATAATAAGTCATCTCGAAAAGATAAAAAGGAGAAGTAAACAAATTTGAAAAGTGATTGTATAGGTTATGTTTTTAATTTGCGACTTTGTAAGGAGAGATAACAATATTACTCTAAAATATCATTTCAGGACTAACAATCTTTGAAATTTGATCTTCTTTCTATATTTGTTAATATAAAACATGCATGTAAACGTTGTAAATATGTAAAAAATTTATGTAAAAGATGTAAACATTGTACTTGTAACCATTACACGCATCCACGAGTATTGACAGGTGAATATAAATTAATTAATATATTTTTCCGTAATATATATTTAAACTAATTTGATAAATAACTTAATTATACACTTGTAAATGATTCACAATCACATAACAATAATAAAATTAATTAAAAGTGAAAATTGAAAAAATGTTGCCAAAGAGTGCAAATCATGTGTAAAGGCGCCTTTAGGTTTTATAATATACTCTCATTGGCTTTTATAGTTCCCACTCAAATTTGAATTCAGCCAATGAGAGCGCTAGTTTCGTCGGAGGCGAATCACCTCGCAAAACTCAAAAACTGCAAAAATCGGGCATTTTTAGTGCGACAAACTCAGAATTAACTTTTTTTTTGCTTAAATTAATATTAATTAATGTTATTATTGTACTATGCTTGCAACAAAGTTTAAATATATATTGCAAGTAATCATATTCAAATATCAAGTGTCAACTTTGTGTATAAAAATGTAAATTTGTATGCGTAAAAATGTGTCAAAATGTTTTATATTGAAAAATAGAGAAAGAATAAAAAATTTCAGACTGTTAAGCCTGAAAAGAGAAGAACTTGAAGAGAACTTTGGTATAAAATTACGTACAAAATATTTTAGAATAGATAACAAAGAAACACCGGAAGGACTGACAGGTACCTACAGTGATTTTACTTTGTTAGTTTATTAATAATTAAAATTTTGTTTTCACTTATTCATCCTTTCGTTAAGTAATCAATTTTTTTTTATTTTCAATTAAATACGGTTTTATCCTCATTTAAATTAATATAATGTTAAAAAATATGTTTTTGTTTTATGCAAACGAATGTTTATTTGAATAATATAGAAAAATATTTATTATTGTTTAATTTTTAATACTGTAAAATTAATTTACAAGTAATATAAATTTAGAAAGTTTCTATTCAAAGACAAGTATCTATAATATATAATTGCTTAATTTCCATAGTTTAATTTAATTACGTAAATAATAATTAAAATTGATAATTAACAAAAAAATATTAATAAATCTTCATATTTAGTATAAATTATACAAAAAAAATATTAATAATCTTTCATATTTAAAATTATAAGTAATACTTACCGAATAGTAAATAATTTTTTAAAATCCGGTTTTAAGAGCATTTTTAAATCGATTTTAATTTTTGGAGTTGAAGATTCGAGAATCGTCCTTGTAATTTTTTGAGTAATTAATTATTCCTTCTTAAAATTTTTCGACTAAATAAAAATTCGGACTTTTAGTTTTTTTGAACAACTAAAAAGTCCATTATTTTGTAGAATTTCCGAATTTTTCTAATTCTTTTTTAAACAATAATTTTAATCAACAAAAATATTTCAATAAATTTCATTTTAGATAAAAAAATTTTAAAAAATTCTTTGCAAAACAATTTGTTTTCCAAGTTTTAGTTTAAAAATTCAAAAAGTCAAACAAATAAATTATCTATCAAATTTAAAATTTGTAGAAATAATTATTCCAGTCGCCCACCGCTTTTTTTAAATAAAAAAGATCCAGAAAATTTTCATTTTCAAGCTTCTTTATTCGCGTTCAATCGTTGTTACCATTTATTTATAGTTTATTTACAATATTATTAATCAAACCGGCACCAATAAATTCCAGAGATTTTCTCTACCTATTGATATTTATAACTTTCTGCTCGATGTCGACTGGATAACATATTTTAAGACCAGGTTTAATATTCTCATTATAAAAAACACGAGAAAAAAGAAACTATCATTTATATTATAAGAAAAAAAAGAAGTATTTGCAGTCATTCCTTAATAATTAATTGTTCAAAAAATCAGACTTTGTTTCCCTATATAAAGGATTTTAAGGAATATTTTCTAAATTCTTTCTTGTTTGTTGTTATATAAAAGAGCGATGACAACGATTTGAAATAACGATAATAAAGAAAAGAGATGCTTCGAGTATCGCAGATATAAGATTTTTATTTTCATATAATAATTAGAAAATATAATTAAAAATCGCGCTAAACTTATAAATCGCTGATGTTATTTAGCGTTTTTTTTTGACAGGGTATCGGAGATGAAAAAAGAATAGCCTGTGAGTCTGCCTTCCCAGCACACACATTCTTTCCGCCGCGCCTTTCCTGCGAAATTCCTTTCGATGGAAATAATGTCGTAATAATCTTTTAGAAAGACGAAATTGCCGACTGATGGAGAAAAATAAAAGTTGTATACTCTCACCGCGGTGGAGTACGAGCTTTTTTATTTCTTCATCACTGGGAAAGTTTTTTCGCGTTGATCGTTTTTTGTTAGTTGAGGAAAAGTCCATTATTGAATTTAAGTTCATTGTTGGACTCGGAAGACAAACTACATTGACTATGTGCCGGTATTTCTTGTCCGGCATGATGTCCTTGGCGCGATGAGTAGTTATTTTTTCTTTTGGGCTTTTTCGGCAGCCTTGGTTACTTTGCCAGTCGCGTCTTTGAAATTCACCGACTTAATGACACCAACAGCAACTGTTTGACGCATGTCACGAACAGCGAAACGTCCCAATGGAGGGAATTCCTGGAAGGCCTCGACGCACATTGGTTTACTTGGTACGAGGTTCACGATCGCAGCGTCACCAGATTTAATTGCCTTTGGATTTTCCTCAGTTGTTTTGCCGGTACGTCTGTCGCACTTCTCCTTAATCTCGGCGAATTTGCAAGCAATGTGAGCTGTGTGGCAATCCAACACTGGCGTGTAACCGTTGCTGATTTGTCCAGGGTGGTTCAATACGATAACCTGCGAAAATAAATCAGGGACTTTAGTATTTCAAACTTCAAATCAAATCTTTAATATATATATATAATATATCTATCTATATATATTTAATGATATTGAAAATTGAACCAAAAATACAATTTGTCGAAAAAATAACAAATAGCAAACCATTTTAAGTTAGTTTGTTATTTTTTGTACATTCCTTCAAAAAATATTTTCCTTCGGGAAAATCTTCGATGGAAAGAATAAAAATGAATGAATTGAAGAAGTGAATTTGAGAGGAAAAGTATTTACTTGTGCAGTGAAGTCAGCAGCACCCTTGGGTGGGTTGTTCTTGGAGTCTCCGGCAACGTAGCCTCGACGGAGTTCCTTGACGGAAACGTTCTTTACGTTGAAGCCGACATTGTCGCCAGGAACGGCCTCGGTGAGAGCTTCGTGGTGCATTTCGACGGATTTGACTTCAGTGGTCAAACCAGCGGGGGCGAAGGTCACAACCATACCGGGTTTTAAAATTCCAGTCTCCACTCGACCGACTGGCACTGTTCCAATACCACCAATCTTGTAGACATCCTGAAAGAATTTATTCGATTAACAATTTTTCCTTTTTGCTAAAGAAAGAAAGAAATTTCTTTCAAGAAAGTCAGACGTCTTCTGCCATCAATGAACCCGAGGGTCCTCTGGTGGAAACCGCGAATGAAGTATTTGTTTTCTCATCATAAAAAGAAAAAAGGTAGAGAAAAAAAGAAAAAAGGTAGAAGAAGGAACGCACCTGGAGGGGAAGACGAAGAGCCTTGTCGGTGGGTCTGCTGGGTGGCAGGATGGCGTCGAGAGCCTCAATGAGACACTTGCCCTCGCCCTTTCCTTCCTTACGTTCGACGAGCCATCCCTTGAACCATGGCATTTTGGTCGATGGTTCCAACATGTTGTCGCCGTGCCATCCGGAAATTGGAACGAAGGCAACGGCGGCTGGATTGTAACCAATCTTCTTAATGTAGGAAGAGACTTCCTTCTTGATTTCCTCGAAACGATTTTCCGAGTATGGTGGTTCGGTGGAGTCCATCTTGTTAACACCAACAATGAGCTGCTTCACTCCAAGAGTGAAAGCGAGCAATGCATGCTCGCGAGTTTGTCCATTCTTCGAAATACCAGCTTCGAATTCTCCAGTACCAGCAGCGACAATTAATACCGCGCAGTCAGCTTGCGATGTTCCCGTAATCATGTTCTTGATGAAATCTCTGTGTCCGGGAGCATCAATGATGGTTACATAGTACTTGGCCGTCTCGAATTTCCAGAGAGCAATGTCAATGGTGATACCACGTTCACGCTCAGCCTTCAATTTGTCCAAAACCCAAGCGTATTTGAAGGAACCTTTTCCCATCTGGAAACAAATGACGAGTTAAAATCTCCCCTTTCATTCACGAACCTAATTTCAAGTTTTATATCAATCAATCAGACACTTCAAACCGTCATTGAAGACAAATTCTCCGGTGGAAACCGCGAATGAAGAATTTTTATTTCTCATCATTGAAAATTTGATTTTCTAGAATTTAAATTTTTAATATTGATAATTACCTCCTGGGCTTCCTTCTCGAATTTCTCAATGGTACGTTTATCAATACCACCGCATTTGTAGATCAAATGTCCAGTCGTCGTGGATTTGCCGGAGTCGACGTGTCCAATGACGACAATGTTAATATGGATCTTTTCTTTTCCCATGGTTAGAGTCTAGTTATATTTAGCCTGGTCAAAAAATACTGAAACAATAATTTTTTTATTAAAATTTAGATAACAAAACAATTAGAAACTGGTTTAAAAAATTTAAATTCAAGTTTGATTAATTAATTATTAAATGAACACTCAGACGCTTCAAGCCGTCAATGGACGTGAATCCTCCGGTGGAAACCGCGAATGAAGAATATTTTTTATCATCATTGTGTTCATTCAACTAAAAAAAATAAGACAAAAAATAGTTCGATAATTCAGTAAATAAGCATCCAATTTTAAGTTCAAGGTTGAGCACGACGTCGGGGGAAAAAATCGCATATTGCATTTATAGGTTATGTAGTTCGAGAATTTTTATCAATACAAAAAAAGAATGATGGGGAAAATTAATGACAGTTGAATTTAAAGCGAGTTCGTAGAATGAACGTGTAATTTCCTTTGTCTCATGTCCACGTGGCGGATATTCGATCAGAGAGAACGGCAGAGTCGGCCATTTTGTAGGAGCCGCACTTGATGCACCAAGACGCTCAGCATCGCCCAATATCACGTTTCTAATAAATTATGAATCACCGGGAAAAATGAATTGCAAAATATTTGCAATCACGAGGAAAACATTACTTTCAATTTTTCAATCAACATATTTTACTACCCTTCTTTCTATTTTCTTGTCAAAACTTTTTCTCCCACATTTCCCAATTTTTGATAAAATCGACAAAAAAATAGAAAATGTTTTTTTAAAAAAAAGTACAGAAAAAAACAGTTGCAAAAAAAATATTTCTTCCAGTTCTAAAATATTAATATTCCACTAGAAACTTCGAGACATGTCTTCCAACTCGAAAATTTACATCAAGCAGATGTTACAATGAACTTGTTGCTCGTGTTTCGATTTTTCCCGGAACATTCGAAAATTGAAAAAAAATAGAAAATGTCAGCAGGAACATTATTTTTCAAGCAGATAAGTGAGGTTAGAATTTTGAAAAGTGCGAAAAAAAACTAAAGCTAATTTTGGCTCGACATGGTCGATAAAAATTGGAAGAGCTTTTATATTTCAAAATTTACTTTTCTAGACAGGAAATCCAAAATTTTAATTCGAAATTACAGAATAGGATTTTCGCCTCTTGCTTTAGAGACAGAAAAAGAAAAAGCAATTTACAACAGGAATTCAGTTATTACAATAGAAAATTTTCGGGAGTTAGAAATCGGAGATTAGTAATTTAATCTTCCTTATGGATATAAATATCGAAATGCATATTTTAAGAAACACTTGAAATTTTCATCACACAGAGTACACAAAAATCCAGCGGAGGTCGAGCAATGTGACGAAAGCCAAACGGATTTCTGACAAACGACCGCCATTATGCATCTGGTGATATCTTTCCTAACGGTTTTGGAGAGAAGAAACAATCTCCCCAGCTTCTTTTATTTTCTTGGTAAACAAAAAAAAACTTCCTTTCAAACACACTAACAATGGAAGTAGCAAAAATACTGAAGAACGTTTTTTTTTTTGCCTTTGCCAAAGTTTTTGCATGCGGTGCAACCGGCGAGGTATATTCGACCATGCGTTATAATTTTCCGAAGATATTTTCTAAAACTAGAAATTATTGAAAAACTCACCAAACTTTTAACACACGCGTAAAATATAATTTTTACCGAAAATATTAAATTTCTACCTGACAATGGATGCTTATTACTTGAATTATAAAATTTTGGATTAAATTTTGCTTCCGTGAATAACACGCACAACCACTCACCTCCAGATGCCACGACAGAAAGAGATCTTCCGGATGGCAGTGACATGCGCATAAGACTTGACGGCGGAAGTCTCGATACCAGCGACCTCACGATATCGATCACTATCATCTTTCCGGTAATTATGAATATTTTTTTTTAATTTTCTAAAATGCGAAATTTTTTTAATAAAAATCTCTACAATTCAGAGGGGAAATTTGATTTTAAAAAATTGTATCTATGAGAATTTATATCGACATTTATCGTGTGGGGGGAGCATAAAGAATTAAATTGTATTTTGGGTTCGAGATTAAAGTTACGTAGTACACAGGCGTGCCGGGTATTGTGTATGTGTATGGAATAATTTGAAAGTATGCCTCTAAAAATGTATTTGTAGTGGAAAATTTGTTAGGGACGGCTAAATGAATTCTTTGGTCCCCGGTCTATAAAATTAAATTTATTGAAATTTTCTCATGTCTCCGCAAATGAAAACAAAAAAGACTTCTGCTCTTTTTGAGGTTAGGTTCATTTTGTTTATATATTTAATACAATTTTGACTTGTTCTCATTTTTATGAAATTTCATTTTTATTTATACGTGTATTCCTTGGATTATTGCATTTTTGGTATTTTAAATATGAAACGGAAAAGATTTCATATTTTTGAGGTTAGGTTCACTTTGTTTATTTATATTTCCATTATTCAACTTGCTCTTACTTCTCATAATTCTTACAAATTTTTAACGATTTGTTTTAATTTTGATTTAGAATTATTTGAATTAAGTATAAAATTAATACTGTCTATATATTTTTTTTAAATATTAAAAGTCTTATTGTTGTCCAAGGTCCACGTTGCTTTGTTGTCACGTGTTAAATAAAATTTTTAAATTATTAGTATTTTTAACCTATTTTGTTATTTTCTTTTTTATTCTGTTTTTAGAATTAATAATAAAAAATTGAATTACTTTTAATTATAAGGTAAATTTATAATTAATATAAATTAACAATGGAAATTTATATAGGTGACAAAATAATAACTATTATTGTCTCGTAAAAATGATCTGACAAAATATTTAATAACGGACGTAAAATTATTTGAACAATAACTATTATTGTTGAAATTTCTTTTTTTTTAAATTAAATTAAATTCTTCATCAGAATTCAATTATTTTCAATATTCTAGAGGGAATTAAATTATTTTTCGAAAATATAAATAAAATTTCTTGTAGAAATTATTTATTAATATTCTTGACAAAATTAAATTATTTTTGAAAATTATAAATTCTCCATAAAAATTAAATTATTTTTTAATTTCTTCACAGAATTAAAATATTATTGAAAATTTAAATAAAATTCTTTACAAAAGTTTCAATTTTCTCCAAAAAAATTAAAATCAATTCGGAAATTATAATTAAATTCTTTTTCAGATTTAAATTACATATTTTCAATATTCTAAAGAAAATTAAATTATTTTTGAAAACTATAAATTGAAGAAATTCAATTATTTTTGAAAATTTTTATAAACTTCTTCGCAAAAATTCAATTATTTTTATTAATAATAAAATTCACAATAAAAAATTTAATTATTTTCAAATTTCAAGAAAGAATTAAATTATTTTTGTAAATTTTAATTCAGTTCGATGGAGAAATTCAATTATTTTTGATAATTTTAATATATTTCTTCGCAAAAATCCAATTAATTTTATAATTAATAAAATTCTCAATAGAACTGAATTTTATTATTTTCTAAATTCAAAAATGAATTAAATTATTTTTGAAGATTTTAGGAAAATTGTTTGCAGAAATTCAATTATTTAAATATGTAAATATTAAATTTCCCCAGAAAATTCTATTATTTTTTAAATTCTCCAAAGAATTCAATTATTTTGAATAATTTTGACAAAATGTTCTTTAATAATTCAATTTTAATTATAATGCAATTCATATTTTCATAAATAATAAAATTTTTTGTAGGTATTCATTTTATTAAAAAATTTTGTTAATATTCTCTATAATAATTCAATTATTTTCGCTACAATTTGAATATTTAATTCCTCGAATGAAGTTCAGTATTCTGAATCATTTAAATACAATTTTTTGAAACAATTAAATTATTTAAAAAATTTTTTAATAAATTTCTACGCAAGAATGAAATTATTTTCTATTATAAAAGTTAGAAAAATTAAAATCTTACTTTTTAACAAAAGTATTATCTTTTAAAAATATATAAAAAATTTACCTATTAAGGGCATTTGAACCACTATGACGTCACAGTTTTAAAACACATGCTTTACACAAATTGTGACGTCATAAAGTTTCAAATGCTCTTAACACAAAACGATGGAAAATAAAATAATTTCTAAGTTTTTCTTCCAATGTTTTTGAATTCTAAAATTAATGAAATTATACTTTTTAATGTTTTGAAGGTTACTAATAACAGAAATTAATTAAACAAAATTGCTTTTAATTATAAATAAAATAATTATTAAATAATTTATATAATATAATTTAAATTTAGTAAATACAGTAATTATTTGAAACAAAACATTTCAAAAAAAGAAAAATTATAAAAAAAAATAGGAAAGAGAAAGGTAAAGAAAAATGAACTAAATTCAAATAGCGAATAGAAATTTGGAAGGCAACGATTATAGATTAGTTGTTTAAAAGACAATCAGGATTTTTGGTAATAAATGTTTTTAATAGTAAGATTTTATAAGTAATGTTAATAATCTTTATTTCGTGACACGCACAGATATACGCATATGTGCGCCAACTTGTATCGTTGTTTGCTATAAGAATGATGATTTGGTCATGCATGATGAAATAACATTTTCATGTGATTTTTCATACATTTTTGTTTCTTTTTTTTGTTTCTCTCATTTGTCACTTTTTCGTGTCTCTTTCATTCTCATCCCTTTCGCACTCAAAATTCTTTGAGGTCGATCGCAATTTATTTAAATTTATATTACAAGTTTTTTTTTTATTTATAACTATATATTATCAATCGTATTTACAAAAGATCGTTTTTGCTAAGTGTTTATATTTATCTCAAATTATTTATTATTATTATATTTATAACTTGATTCCTGAGTGACCATTCATTAAGAGCCTCGTCGTGAGACCAAAGTTTCTATCCACCTTTGTTCTAAGTTTTTTTTGCTTCTTGCTTTTGTTTCTTGACTTATTTCAAATTTTTGTTTAAAAGAATTTTTTTATTTTATTTTTATTTATTTATTTAAGCAAGGAATCTTTCAAAGATTTATAAAAAGTTTAAGAATTTGCAATTGAAATGGGTGAAAAAAAATTTATGATCTTAAAATGTTAAAATTGTTTCTCTTAATTTTATATGATATGCAGTTGACAAAGAAATACTTATGTGTTAAAAAATTATTAACAGAGGATTTTTTTTGTAATAAATAATATTCCTTTTAATTGGATTATTAAAATTTTTTTAAATCAACGTCTTGGAGATTGTGATTGGAGATAAAATTATCTTTGGCCACTGATAGAATATTTGTAAAGTTATATTGGTTTTTAATTAGATTCAATTTTCCAAAAAATTGAACAATTGCGCAATAGCAAATTTTAGGACATCGAAGTTTTTTTGTGTATTCACAATAATCATACGACTCGGAATTTCTCTCTTTTTACTTGTTTTTGAAAATTTTCTTCTTAAATATTAAAAATTAAACCGATCCGTAAATTATGCTAAATTAAATTTACAAAATTAACTTCAAGAGTAAAATAAATTAACTTTTTGTCAAAATTATTAAACATAATATTTTTAATAACAACAATAAAAAAAAAATTGTTCTAATTATAAATAACTGTACAATAAAATATAAACAACTGTATTTATTTTCAACAACAAAATTCTAAAATTGATTTAAAAAAATGAAAGAGGTGTAAACTTTGGTCTCTCGATAAAAAATGTGCAAAGGCGAGTCGTAGGATTATTCACAAATTGATTCAATACAATGATTTAATAATCATATTCTGTACATTATACATAATTTTTTTCTTGTTTTTCATAACGCTAATAAACATTTCAATAAAATTAATGACATATATACTATTAATTAATAATTAAAAACGAATAATCTATATTATATACGCAATAAAACAAATATTATTTGTTTGTTTCTTTCCACTTATAGAGTTTTATATTTGTAAGGAATTAATATAAACTATATATTAAAATTCGTTGAGTCATATTTAAAAATTATCCGTTTGTTTAAAAATTAAAACAGAATTTTTTCTTTCAATAAGACACTGACAAATCGGTCAAATATCGCGATAAATTTGACTAAGAAATTGAAATTTTATGAATGTCTTTCTTTCAACTGCTGTTGCGTTTTGTTATTTTTTTTTCGTCTTATAATTTGTAAGAAATTTAAAAACACTTTTTTCGAACAACGTACAAGCGAGAGAAAAAATAATTTTTAAGAGTTGGTATATTTTATATAACCACACACTTAAAAATATACGAAGTTTTTTCGAATTTTAATTAAATATATGATTTTTTCCAGTCTCGGGTGATTCGATTTTTTTCAAATTATTATTAAACCTTTTAAGATAACAATTTTTTTGAAAATTTCTTAACAAAAATTCAATAAATTATTTTCGTAAGTAATAAAATGCTTCGGAGGAATTTAATTATTTTTAAAAACTTCACAATAAAATTCTTTCCTAGAATTCAATTATTTTCCTAAATAATAAAATTGTTCTCAGGATTTCAATAATTACTTTTATTATAATTTTAATAAAATTTTTCGAAAGGGTTCAATAATTTTCAATAATGTTGATAGAATTCTTTATAGGAATTCAATTATTTTTAAAACAAATTTTAATTGAATTTCTCGAAACAATTAAAAAATTTTTTAATAAAATTCGTAATGAAAATTCAATTATATTGAAAGTTTTAATAAAATTCCTCGAAACAATTGAATTTCTTTTTATAAATAATAGGATTCTTTCACATAAAATCAATAACTTACATAAATAATAAAATTCTTCACAGTAATTCAATTATTTTCAATATTTTCGA